GCCTCTATGCCCTAACATTCAACATTTTTGTAAGATGTAGGCCCCTGGGTCTCCTGTCAGAATCCAAGGGATATAATTAATAAGATTTTCTGCTCCCAAGTGCTGCTGTCCTCCTGTACCTGGAGCTGGAATGTCCCCATCAGGTAGCTTTTTATTTCTCTGGACTTTTCAGTAGTACAGCAGTATGTAGAAAACACCACCTTGGCTGCTTGCTAGTTATCGTTATGTTGATACAGAAAAGGAGTTATACTCAAGGATGCTTTAGAAACTGACACAAAATAGCCCAAAGCACCAAGAATAAACTCACACCACCACAGTGAAGAGTAACTTTTACATGAGTAGGCACCAACAGAAGAATTTGCTTATGTTGTTAAAACAAAGTTTTTCCCCGAAAAGTCACTACAGCATCAGAGAATTGTGCCACCATCAGAGAATACTTTCCAGAACATTTAGCCGTAAGTCAATGTCATCTATCGGATTTCTACTATACAGATAAAACAAATCAAGCAATTTTTAAACAAAAAAATCAAAGTCACAGGCTTAAGTTCTATCCTATCTCAAAAAAGCCCTACCAAAATAGTAGGGAGAACAGTGATGAAGTGGATAAACTATTTCTCTGTTGTAAAACACTGGACAGCAAACAACAAGGAATTGTAGAAGTGATCTCTCAACAAGAGACACATTATCACAAACCCCCTTTTCTGAAGGTAAAGGACATGCTGGATATCTGTAGGCAGCTGACTTTATTCAATAATTTTTCAAACACTTAGTTACACCTTGGTCATTTTTAAATGGCTCAGCAACTACCTAGAATTATCTGTATACTCTATACCACTTTAGAACAAGCTGGACCTTCAAATTCAAAGTCAGGCTAAACTCTCATGACAAAGTTAAACATTTTTCAATCACCTTGGTTATAAGGAACAATCAACCCATGGGTTTCACTCAACCCCAATCCAGATTTTTTTTTTTTTAATGAGCTCTGTAGCTTAAGCTGATTTTTCACTTTTTCAGAAGTTGAACAAATGTGGAGGGACAAAAGCCAGAGCATCAATGTAAGAAAGCAGTATTTTCCATTTCTCTCCTTTGTTTACCACCTCAGATATCTGACATACTAATACAAAAACAAAAAACAAAGCCTAAGAGGTGTGTGCAACTGAGATCCTGTTCTGAAGATTTCTGTTCCCTTTCCTACTGTAATTATAATTTTTAAAGCAGTAATTCACAAACTCCTTTAAGACTCCTGCGAAAATGAACACTTTGTTCTTTTTGAGTCCACATTATGAAGTAATTTGCTAGCAAAAGAAATGGATAAAATACAATTCTGAGAAGGTGAATACCGTGGATTTGATCCAGAATCAAGTTTTCTCCCTGCTATTCAAGTATCCTCTTCTTACCACATTTCAGCATAAGCAGACAAGGATAAGCAACAATCGTTACTTCCAAGATCACCAAATCCACCTTCCCAAAGGCACAAAATATTTTCAGTTTAAAAAAGAAACCCAAATCTGATGTTATTGCTCAGTACTTTTGTGCAGTTAAAGCATTAAAAGCATTAGCCTGTTTTATTTTGTGACAACTTTATTGAACAGTAGTATTCAATACTTCATCTTTATAAACAAAAACCTTTGCTGAATGATGCCAAGGCAGTATTTGCTGGCAATGTTGTGGCCATACTGTCAGTGAGCCATTTTACTGTGTTTGGTTACTGTGGAATTGCTAATAAAGCAATTTATATGTGGCAATTTTGGAATTTTTAGAGGGATTACTGCCAGAAACTCTTTCCAGAAGATTCAACTAGCAGCACTTTTGCATTTTCTTTACTCATTTTTCAAGTGTTCTTAAAACTGATGAGTAGATTTTATTTTTACACACTTGACCAACACCTATACATAAATCACAATCCAGTAAAAGGGAGTTTTGAGTTTGGTTAAGGCTTTCATGCATTCTTATTTTTATGCAAGGTGATTATTTCCATCTAAAAATGTATTATTTGCTTACTTCCATACACAGTACCCTAAATTTTCATCTAGTGAGTTAAGACTGACCTTAACTTAATAATCATATTACTACCTGAAATTCTGAATTAAATTTTCTAATAGAATTTTTGTTGTTGCTTGGACAACCTGGAGTACAAAGCTAGGAACTACATCTCACTTAACACTGTGTTGCATTAAAAATAAAGCCACTAGTAACTGCACATCTAAACTAACATGTAAACACAACACACACCTCTAAATTATGCTTAAACACCAAACGTTTCACTGACATTCAGAAAAGTTTACAAATTGTTTATAAATACATTTGTAGATTTCTCTAATCCTTTAAACCAAAAGAAAAGCAAACACCAATAAAAGCTCAGTAGAAGGAAGAGGAAAAAAATTAAGAGTCTCTTCCATAAATGTTAACGTTGCCAGAAACAAGGCAATAAAATTTACACATAGGATTGAAAGCAAGTATCATGATAGCATTTACAAAAGCACACAACTTTGAGCAAACCATTACAAATCCTTAAGACCATACAAAGCAAATGAGAAAATAATGTAAATTCATTTCCAACCCAAACCTAGTATCTTAAGAGAAAAATTTCAGAAGAGGTATGAATAGTTTCACAGAATACATTTTCAAGAATTTTCTTCAAAAAACTCCAATGCCCAGAACAAGATAAACAGAATGCTTATCAGTTAGTACTAAGTTAATAAGTCTCAGATACACAAAAATTAAGTTCCAGAACGCACAGCATTTAATCACATTCACAACAAGACGTGCTGTTGTGATTCAACGAAATGAAACAGTTCTCTCCAATTTCTACACAAACCACTATTTTCTTAATTTATTTAATTTGATGAACAATGAAATTAAGTTTTCCTTTTCAGCATTTAGCTAAAATGTAGAAATAACAAAGTAGTTGCAATAAAGTATATGAATTATTTAATAAGAATGTATAAACATATAATCAAAATAAACTGCAAAAAAAGATAAAAGACTTTCATATTCAACTCATTTTTCTAAAATGAAAAGTCAGCTTTTCAACGGGGAAAATATAATCTGTGGTTGAAATAAGATTCCCAAGCAGTGCTGATGTGTTTCGCATTCTCTTTGGAATGAGAAGTGATGACTTAACAGAAAACTTAAAATTGAACAGCATACACAAACATATTGCTTTTTAAGTTGAGGAGGCAGTTATCTAGTGAGCTGTCAAAGCAAATTTATATTTGTGAATTACCCAAAGACCCACACCACAGCCACCTCTTTGTCTAAACAATCCTCTCCCTCAACAAAAATCCTGTACTGCCAATCCTCTAAGAATGTAATGATGACAAAACTTTCCAAATCTTATCACACAAATGAAATTATTGCCATTCTTAACTCTGAAGTACACAACGCTGTATTTCAGTGGCCCACTGACTTGCAAAACCAAAAAGGCACTATATATAGATATATATATATACACACGTAACAGCAAATACTTCTTTTAAAAGACTGACACCATTGTAAATATGTTAATTTGTAGGAAATGTTGAGGATGTTTCAAACCAAGGTAAGAGGATCATGTAGAAGACAAAATTTGCTTTTCATCATATCTCACCAATCTCCCATTCTGTATATTTATAGTATCATTTGACACATCTTTAGAGCATTTTAACTAAGAAAAGTAAACCTAAGTAGAGCCTTTTTGAGGCAGTGAACAGGACTTTGTAAGGCAAATATTTTCATGACAAGGACATTTACCAACCAGAACCCATGTGGTCCTCCTGCCTCAGTGTCCTGAATGCTAAAGAAAAAAGGATTTGCAAGGACAAGGAGCCGCAGTTCTCGCTCCTCTGGCAGCTGCATCTGCATGAATGTTTTAACAGACTACTCATTGAAATATGCCACAAAACCATCTCCAAGTCACAGGACTACACACACTATCTATGGACCAGTTTATGGATCTTTTATTCTATACTACTATTGCTAACAAAGCTAACAATTTCAACTTCAGTTCTGTGAAAACCTAGATACAATATTCTCTCATGAGTGAACCCCTCGTTTACTTAAAGGCTACATAAATTGTGTCAGAAGGAAGCTGCTAGAATAATTAGGCTCATCATGGACAGGACTTCAAATTAAGCATCTTAAACACTGATCATTACAAGTGGTTTCTGTTTTTTTGTTTGTTTGTTTTTTAAATGCCATCCAAACAACATGAACAATTTTTAAACTGACTAGACTAAAACTCGGCGGTCAAACCAAAAAGGCTCTGGTAGGTAGAGGACTTCATAGTTTATTTTTATGGCAAACGTCTTATTCCACACAGTTTTAAGTGTGACATTAGAAATCAAAATTCAAGGTTATAGCACAAACCAAGTGTGGAGTTTTGTATTTAGGAAAAAAGACCCAATAAAACAGTTCTGCTCATTTACAAATTAGTCAAATAGGCAAACAAAGCAGCAACTTCTAAAGCAGGACTGTCTATACAGCAAGAACCCTCAAGAAGCAATAAAAGTACATACAATGAATCTGTATACAGAGATTTTATTCAGTTTTAAAAGAAAATGAGGACTTTAGACAAAGCTTTGACCCTACAAGGCAAATCTGTCCAGCTTTAAACCAAATTCCAGGAGTAGCCAACTTAATATTTTTCCGCAGCTGGCAAGAGCACCCTCAAACAGCTCTACTGACATTTCTATTTTCTTCATCCCATATGGTATAAAACAAAGCCAATCTATACTCCTTGATAAGCTTATGTGGTGGCTTGAGTTTTACAAATGGTTTCTCTAATGGTATGTCAGAATCATTTTTTGTTCTCTCCAGAGAGCTTTACAGTAACATACAGCAATGTTTATCCCGATCATGAGTCTTCTGTAAACAGTCAACAATGCTCTATGTTATGGAAACCAATCTATATGCAATTGAAATAATCCACAGGTTCTAACCTGGAAATACTAGGAAAACAATCTGGATGCATTAGTCACAGCAATATGAAGATCTACCCTATAAAGAGTTGATGTGAATGGCTATCCTAATATAAGTTTTACTTTTCTTGAGCCTATAGGTCTGTCATTTAGGTCAATGACAGCAGCTGTGGCTTCATCTCGAGATTCAAAAGCCACCATGGCCTCACCCGTGGGCATACCTTTTTCATTGTATTTTAAACACACTGAGCCTGGGATTACCTGATAGCCATAAAAGAAATCTAAAATCTCATCAATAGACACAGTGAAGGGCATGTTCTGCACTTTAATTACTGTAGGTCCTGGTTTTCCAGAACTAGATCCAAACCCAGGGGGACCACCAATATGGATTGGGCCAGGCCCAGGCCCGGGCCCAGGCCCAAAGGCTGGTGGCCCACTCAAATGCCCAGGGGCACTTCCAAGACCAGGAGGGCCACTTCCAAAGCCAGGAGGGCCACCTAAACTACCAGGGCCATTTCCAAAATTCTGAGGACCCCCTCCAAATCCTGAAGGCCCACTTAAATTATTTGGTCCACCTCCAAAACCGGGAACATCCAATCCTAGACCAGGCAAACCACTGCTTCCAACTGAAGGCATACCAGGCCTACCATCACCAAAGGCCCCTCCTAATCCTGGAGGAGGGAGTGGTGGCCCAAAGGAATTTGACCCACCAAAATTACCAGGAAAGTTAAATGGAGGCCCATTGTTGGCCTCCTTTGATCCTACAGTCAAGAAGGGATGCTCTTCACCTCCTGTACTAGGCATTCCTGCACTGGGCAATCCTCCACTGGGCACTCCTGAACCAGGCATTACCGCACCAGGCATTCCTGCGCCGGGTAGTGCTGTACTGGGCATTCCCGCGCCAGGCATTCCCGCACCGGGCATTCCTGTACTGGGTATTCCCGTACTGGGTATTCCTGCACTGGGCAATCCTGGTACTGCAGGATTACCTGGCACAGGCACCTTTAACCCCTTTTTTCCTTGGGCTGGGGGATTTTTCTCAATTTCTCTCATATCTTCTAGGGAAACTACATGAACAAAAGCTTCTCTCCCATTAAGTTTTTTACGGTGTAAGTGTTCAGACTTACGTGCATCATCTTCATTTTTAAATTGAACCAATGCCTGTCCTAGACCTTGCCCATTGTTATCAACAAGAACATGTACAGCATTCTCATCCACTGGAATTCCTTCTAGGAACTGAAGAACGTCCATCTTGGTAATGCTGAATGGAATATTTGTTATGTGAGCACAAACTTTGGCAGAGTTGACATCTCCCTCCGGATTTAACATCATTTCCCTCTGGTCATAGCTGAAGTTCTGCAGTCTTTTTCGAATCATATCTATCTTTTCTAGCATACCTTTCTTAGTAATTGGATGAACTTGAATAAAGCGATTGCCCATGTATTGTTTATGACGACACAAAGCAGCCTTATAGTCAGCCTCATTTCTGAACTCTACAAAGCCTTCACCAGTTGCTTTCCCGTTGGGTCCGTAAGCTATATAAATACTATCTTCTACTATATCCAACTTTTTAAAAAAATCAATGACATGTTTGTTCTCCGCTTCAAATGGCAGCCCTTTCAAATAAACACAAAAACCAGCCTCGTGCGGTGATCTTGACCTTGACCTTTTCTGCCCACTGGGCGATTTTGACCTGGGAAGTGTCTGAGGAGGAGGGGGATGAGTTTGTCCAGAAGGTCCCATACTTTGCTTAAAAGTGATATGGCCTCCAGCAGCTACCCACTGTCTCTCTGTGGCAGGGCTAACTTCCACATAGCGTTGAATCATCAGCATTCTGTTTCGTTTCAAAGCTTCGAATGTATCTTGAGGGGAGAGAAACTTAACCAATCCATTCCCATTATTTCGACCTACGTGATCTTTCAACAAATGAACTGCATCAACACGGAGCCCATGGAAAAAATCTCTAACATCATTTTCCATCGCAGAAAAGGGCATTCCATGCACACTGACATACAGATCATCAGGGTTGATGGGAAGTGGCTTCACACTGCTTTGAGAGTTCATCTGGATAGGGTTAACAGGATTCAATGGACCCAGAAACATAGGGTTCAGGTTATTGTTCAGATTCATAGGTGCTCCAGAGCCATTCATTCCAGCAGGTAGAGGTGCTACCGGTGGCGGGTTCAAGGGTGGCATGCCCGACATGGGTGGCAGTGGGGTCATGGGTGGCACGGAAGGGACTGGGGGAATCGGGGGCACAGGAGGCACGGGAGGCAATGTAGGTACTGGAGGAGGAACTGGTATTGGAGGAATGGACGGCATCGGTGGCAAAGATGGCATCGCTGGGATTGGAGGAATTGGTGGTGGTGGGACTGTGTTCATTGGAGAGGCTGTGCTGGGAACAGTTGAGCTAAATGTTGGGCTCCCAAAGGAAGTCCCCATATTTGGAGGAGCAGTTCCTATGCTGGCTGTGGAAAACGTCTGTATGTTTTTGTTGCTTTCATGAACAGAAGTGGTGGTAGTAACTACACTGGGTGAGGGATTATTAAAGCTGGGTACTGTTGTAGGCAAGTTTACCCTGCCACTGATTCCTGAGCTAGGTGGCGGTCCTGGTCTACTAGCATTTGCTGGTGGTATATCTAAGTTGGCAGTTTCAAACCGCCTACGACTCAGTTCAATCATATTTTGCATTTCCGTTTTACTACTCAACAATAGTGTTACTTTTGACCCTTTAATTGTACCACCTGTGCGCATCATACCAAGCCTTGCATCTTCATCAGTGGCAAAAACGATGAAAGCCTCACCCAGTTCACCCCCTACAATATGCACGCCCCCATCAGGGATGGTCAATCCAGAGAAGAAGTGGCGAATGTCCATGGTCCCCGCCACAATTGGGAGACCTTGCAAACGGATGACCACAGCCATGCTGCGCTGAAACCACACACACCTGCAGATGAGAAAAGGCAACGGCCAGGTCAGACTCCTGTTTATCACACCAGGTTTTAGCTACAAGAATGACCAACTACCACAGTAAGCTCTCAAATGCTCCCTCAAGCTATCAGAGGCTTTCTTTTTAAAGTTAGATACTCTAAAAACTGAACATTATGTGTTTTACAATGTAAAACTCAGACAATTTCAACTTCCAAAAGGCATTAATTCAGGAAACAATTAGAAATTCAGTTCCAACACTCAACAGTTTCAGGAAAAAAATTACCATAGGACAGTGAAACCACCAAATGCATCATTCAGACCACTGATCATTCACTAAGAGTAAAAGAAATATGCATGTCAAATCAGGAGTTTAATGGATTTATAGTAGGAAAACATGCAAGGATGTATCAAACAAAGTTTAGAATATTATCTATAAACTTGATAACCTCATAGCATTGTAATTGTTGATTTATAGGGCTCAGTCTCAAAATCCAACAGAAACAGAAAACTAGAATATGAATAGATTACAAACAATGATTTACATTCAAGTAACTTGCAATTCTCAAAATCAATTCCATATTTCATCCTAAGACTTTTCACTCCTCCTCACAGTTTAAGCTACACAGGAATTATTATAAACCAAGAAACCGAAAGAAATACTAAACAGCATAGCCAAAATCTGAATTACTTATATTCATCACTCAAAAAGGAGATGTACCATTTAGGCTGTCTGAATTAAAACAGAGCCAATGATTCATCCCCCCCGCCAAAAAAAAATTGTCATTTAGTGTAGGACTGACGATAAAAGGGAGGTTTCTGTTTCACAAGAACTAGAGCGTGAACTTTACTTGGTAAATGCTGTATCTAGGATACAATGTGATTCCTGTGGGACCTCTGGTTGCTTACTGACCCCCTCAACAAATGTTTCTTCTATATTTAAGTCAAATTTCAGTACTTCAGTTCTAAAAACTTCTAAGAGCAAATGCAAGTGCAGCACCTTGCAAAGTAACACCAAGTTTTTAGACTGGAAAACCAAGCCATCTCTGAAACCAATTTTAGGGACTGCACTGTGGCATACTAGGCTAAGCCTCTGCCTGCGAGGCTGGCATCCCATATGGGTGCCAACTGGTGTCCTGGGTGCTCCTCTTCCAATCCAGCTCTCTGCTAATGGACTGGGAAAACAGTGGAAGATGGCCCAAGCGCTTGGGCCCCTGCACACGTGTGGTGGACCCAAAGATGCTCCTGACTCCTGGCTTTAGACTAGCCCAGCACCAGTCGTTATGGCAATTTGGGGATTGAACCAGCAAATGAAAGATCTTTCTATCTCGCCCCATCTCTGTCTTTAAGTCACCCTCTCAAATAAATAAATTAAAAAAAAAATTTTTTTTTAATATAAGCCTATTAAACTGGCTCTTTGAGTTGGTGTTGCAGCACAGCAGGTTAAGTCTTACTGCTTGCAATGCATCTTCTAATTCACCTGGGAAAGCAGTGCAAGATGGCCCAGGTGCTTGGATCCCTGTCACTCACATGGGAGATTCAGACAGAGTTCCTGGCTCCTAGCTTCAACCTTGCCCAACACCAGCTGTCACTGCCTTTTAAGGAGTAAACCAACACACAGAAGATCAATCTAGGGCCAGCGCTGTGGCATAGCGGGTAAAGCCGCCACCTGCTGTGCCAGCATCACATATGGGCACTGGTTCAAGTACCGGCTACTGCATTTCCGGCTCTCTCCTATGGCCTGGGAAAGCAGTAGAAGATGGCCCAAGTCCTTGGGTCCTTGCACCCATGTGGGAAACCAAGAAGCAGCTCCCGGCTCCTGGCTTTGGATCAGCGCAGTTCTAGCCGTTGTGGCCAATTGGGGAGTGAACCAGCGGATGGAAGACCTCTCTCTGCCTCTCCTCTCTGTGTAACTCTGGTTTTCAAATAAATAAATCTTTAAAAAAAAAAAGAGAGACCAATCCATCTCTTTTTTCTATCATTTTGCCTTTCAAGTAAATAAATCTTAATAAATAAATAAACTGACCCTGTAACCTCACAGAAGTTTTAAGTAATTTGAGGCTTGGTTTCCTGATGTATGTAAGCTCTAAAAATCCTGTAACCCTATGACAGAAGTTCTGCAATGTCAAGTATTTTATAAATACTGAATCAATACAACAAAATCTGTAACTGGGGATGGTATGGTGGTACAGTGGGTTAAGCTGCCACCTACAATACTGGCATCCTACATTACAGTGCCAATTTGTTGCCCTGGTTCAGATTCAGCTTCCTCCTAATGTGACTGGGAAGGCAATGGAAGATGGCCAAAGTGCTTGGGCCCCTGCCAAGATGTAGGAGACCAGGATGGAGTTTCTGTCTCCTGGCTTCAGCCTGGATAGACCTGGCTTTTGTGGCCATTTAGGGAATGACCACAGGATGGAAGTTTCAGTTCTCTCTCTCTTACTCTCTCTGTTGCTAAATATGTCTTTCAAATAAATAAATACATAAATCTCTTAAAGAATGTGTAATTATATTTCAGTATGATTGTACTATACAAGAGATATATAGTTTGGTTTTGACAGTTTTCTCATGCACTTACACACCAAAATAAAAGCCAGCTTTCAAATTTAATCCAGAAAAGATGGACTGGCAAGCAAAATACTATTTGTGAGACCACCATAAAACACTAGTAACTTAGGGGAGACTGAGGGAAACTTTTTATTTAGAAACTTCCAGTCAACAAGAAAAATGAGCACTAAAAAACATCACACACCAACACATTCTTTTCACTTACTATTTAGCAGCCTATAAAGAAATTTCTCAAGAAGTTTCAAAGTCATTAAATCAAATTCACATTCCTTACTAAATCTAGAATATGTGGGTATATGCAAAATTGAGATAGCATTCCAATTCAACTTCAAAAATTTTAACCACTTTATTTGGGGAAAGCATTGTAGGGGTCACCCAGGTACCCAAAACAACTTTTGAGGAAGAGATATTAGTTTGCATTGGGATAACGAAACAGAAACACAAAAATTAAACACATGGCTAAAATTACGTACACAGTAAGTCTTCTACCATTTTCTCTTGAGAGGGATTTACTGAGTCTGTACAAAATAAACTTTCGAAAACATGCAACTGAAAATCTGCCTCAGATTACCACCCAAAAATAGGTGAGGATTATACCAAAGTAGAGCACAAGATTTATTCATAAAGCCATCGGAAGAAGGAAATAGTTTTTAGGTTCTAAAGAGTAGGAAGTAACATCTTATATTCTGCTTACTAAGTATCTGTTTGCCAGCAAAGTGATTCCAAACTATTTTGAGTGTAGCTTTGATACTAAACAAAAGCGTCAGGTTCAGCTGCTAAGGTTCCATCTAAAATCTAAAATTTGTACTCAAAAGAATATGACTTAATAGCTATAACTATACCTCTAGGGAATTTGAATAACCATATCAATAACAAGCACCTGTATTTGTCATTAGTCTCAGATGCTATATAAGAAAAACTATGCAGCTATTACTGCCTAACAATCAAGAATGCAGCAGCAAAAATGTATATAAAACCCCTAAAGAAAGCAACAATTCTTCAAGGCACCCCATCCACCCCACCCCCATACCTCAGATAGGCTGTTTACACACACACACACAATTTAATTACTACCCATATTTTCTTGTTTCTTAATAAGCTTTCTAATTTTACTTTGTTTAAAAACAAACCCTCTATGCAAAATCTCTTACCTGATAAAACAAGAGATGTATTTTCTTAACAAGAAGTAGAGGCCAAGTCAATCCTGTGGGCAACCAATTAAAACCAACTTTTAGACTGCAATAGAGAATAAACGGAGGCAAAAATCAATTCAGGAAACACAAAACAACACGCACAGGCCACACTGAACCATACATTACGAAGGCGAGTCTGAAACCACCAAAGCAGTTTAAAAAAAAAAGAAAGAAAAGACATGTACTAAAATCCCACACATGCTTTTTACTTGGTACTATTTTCAAATGAGTGTCTCTCAAAATACCTATATTTATGTACATTAAGAAAATGTTATAAATTAGCCCAAGAATGAATCAAGTGAAAACCAGAACAGTCAAAAAAGCTCAGTTTCAGTTTCTAATCGCTTTTTATCATTTGATGATTAAATCAGTACAGAGAGCTTTGTGGCACAAAATTCAATGGCCATTTCCCCAGGTTCCCACCAAACTTTTTATGAAAAAGTACAAGTTAAACAATAGTAATTCCTAGACAAATTAAGTCATCAATTCAAAGGTACTTGTGGAAGTGACTGTCATTATTCTTTCAATTTATTTTCCTTTGCAACAAAATAGTATCAACCACAAAGCCTAAGTGAAGTTTTGGCTACAAGAACTGATTCCACTGGAGTTATTAAGGAAGGAATAACACCACAACAGTTCTAAAAAACTCACAGGGGGGAAAAATCCCCTCCAAAAGACTGGTATATTAAAAGTATTTACCAAAGAAAAATTTCTTCCACACTGGTGAAATTATGAACTCATAAGCAATATATATGACCAAATGATTAAACAACTATATTCAAAAGGTCATTCTTTATTCAGAGAAAGAAGAAAACTGCCACTGTGGGGCACTGAGATTACCAACAGAAGACAATTTATCCAAATGATGCTCATGTTAATCTTTAAAGGTCAAAATACCACTAGCGACGTTAATATTCACCATCAAAAAGTAAAACGTCTTTCAAAAATACTAAGTATTACTCCAAAATTTTCTAAAGGATCAAACATCTTCCAATCACTCAAACTACTTAAGAACTATGAAGTTGTCTAACATAAAAGCTATGCAAATGTTATAAACACACTTGCAAAGTACAAAGCCTCATATTAATCTTGTATATGTTAAACAAACCTATCCTAAGTCTAAAGAATTTAAAACTCTTCATTTAGGGGCCAGCACTGTGGTTCAGCAGGTTAGGCCAGCATCTGCATTCCACAGAGTCCTGGCTGTTGCTGTACTTCACACCCATTTCCCTGCTA